AGTGGACGTTTTCCTAGAAGCTTCCCCATATAAATTGTATTTCAGGCCTTATGTATGTCTTTCCATTCCTATCTACATAACCAGAACAGCAGAGCTATCTGAACTGTTGAGGATATGTTACACAAAGTCAAATAAAATAAATCAGAATTAGAGATAGGGCCACATAAGCTCGACTGGTGAGGATTTAAGAATATAATCCTACATTACAGTGATAATTAGTTGAAGCCCAAACTGAGTTTAAATAAACCCAGTCAATTACTGGACATTAAACTGTTTACTACATTCAGCAGTAAGATACAGTGGAACAACTGAAATGATTGCTATATTAAAGGAAAATGGATTATGTACCGGATTTGTCCAGAAAAGTGACCAGTGTCTGGCCTTTGTATCCTCCCTTCCCCTCGGCGCTACAGCTCAGGGTGAACTTTGGCATCCTGAACAATCCGCCTCCATTCCGCTTTATCTTCATTTGTTCAGACGATGGAACATCGACTGGTAGAGTGAAGAAAGAAGTAGAGCGTGGATGGAAGAGGTCGTGACCCACTTATTTCTGCTCGCTCATTTTCCTTCATCAATCCGACGTTGATTATCTGGTTTCTAAACAATCATATTTACTGTGTGAAGTTCTTAGCCTCACGCCCAACCCCCAACCATGGTATCCCTTTTCGTCTGGCTCATACCCCTTAATCTTTCCGGCATGGGTGCCCCTACGCTACCGCCGGCATAGCTCTCAGGGTCCCGGGAGTGCTCAAACCCCACCACAACAAGGTTGAGACACCAACGGTGGGTGGGCCCTTGTATATCATCATCAGTAATCTGTCAGACGACAGGTCCACAGTCTATTCCAAAACAATTCCTCTACTTAATGCGATCTAGAGCTTTCTCCTTCAAATGAGAATATCCTCTTCTGTCCCCAAGGTCATCCAGCATCTTCTTACATCTTCTTCCTCGTCTTCTGGTTTGCATACATGGTGTCTCTGTTTTTTGAAAGAGACTATCCAGGATGGATGCGTATCCATAAATGTACATAAATATCATATTCAGTATTAAGAAATTAGTGAGCTTATGCAATGAAAGTGCCTTGGAAAGAAGCCATATTGCATCTAAATGTCTCTGATGCCATTCTATGCTGTAGGACATTCGGCCGATTCTTATGTAAAACACTGCTTACACTGAAAGCATAAAGTATCTTAATTATTTCTGGCGTGCATATGTTGAAGTTTTAAGAATAATTTTACAATTAATTTTGCAATTTAAAACATTAGTATAAAATCCGGAAGATGTGGACTTGAATCGTTTGTTAAAATATGTATACGGCTTTAAGTAATACTGTAATTTGGTTGGCATTCATGTTGAAACGCAGTTGTTATCGCATAAAATTTGCCACTTTTTCTAAATGTTATATGCAGTTTGTTAGAATCTGTTGACGTACTGGAATTTTTGATGAAAGGGAACATAATTTGAAGAGAGAAGAGACAAAAACCTTTATTTCAACTTTATGATCATCTGGGATATGACGCCTACAGTCTGATGTATGGCTGCCTACGTTTCAGAGGAATCCACCGATTCCAAAATTAAGGTTGTGATCATAATGTTTATCGCTGTGAAAATCTTTTATCTCAAGAATCATGAGAGACAATAAAGGTAATTTTTTCTAAATGTGGTCAAAATGAAAATTAAATTATGGCTTGCCGTTTAACATAACTGGCGAATCTTTCATACGATGTCTTAGCGAAATCAAAACGTTACCCAGATCGTAATTGTCTCTTATTATAAAATGAATTTAGAAGTGAAAGAAATAATCTTTGATTCAGCTTGTTAAGTTTTGTGTGCTTATTAGGATAACAGCCTCTGAAGCATATACCTCAGGACATTGCGATACTGTCTAAGTTCATTAAATTTTATGACACTGTAATACATACTTGATCATTAGGAAAGAATGTCATGTTGGAATATTGAAGTGTGGCACAATTTTCCGTTAATAGAAATAGCAATATACAGTCTTAGGACAATTCAGATTACACTGAGAAAAGCAAAGAGAATTTCTCTTCCAACAAGAATAGAAGTTGTAGTCCCTCAGATGATCAGGAAATTTACTGCATTTCACAGAAATTGTCGGTTTAGTGCCGTATCCGCGAGAGCATGGATATAAAAATTACTCTCTTAATATTCATTTTAATATTATTTCCCTGTCTGTTTCTAGCTCTCTTAATTGATCTCATTTGACGTTTCCCTACTAAAACATTGGGTGTATTCCTCATTTCCTGGGTTCTATACGCTTACGGTGATGGCGGTGAATAGCTCAGGCGGTTAGTCGCCGGCTTCCCACCTTGACGGTCCAGGTTCGAGCCCACTTCAGGTCATGGGTGATTTATGGACGACAAAGTTCCACTGGGGTAGGTTTTCTCCGAGTACTTCGGTTTTACCTACCAATTCTCATTCCATCTACTGCTCTACATTCATCATCTATCGTCCGGGGCTGGTACAATATACCAGTTAGTGGCGACGTACAAGGTGGACTCAGCCTCACCCCACCCCAAGAGAGAGAGAGAGAGAGAGAGAGAGAGAGAAAGAACTCGTGACCGTTATCACCATTTTGGAAAGAAAATGCGGTACTGAGCGGGAGTACGGAAGGGTAACTCCTGAAAACTGAACTCAAGTCTTCTTTAAAATAAGAAACAAGAGAGAAGCCGCTTTCATATTTCTCTTTTTCTGTTGTTGCTGCTCCTGAGCTGCTCCAAGCGCTATCGCAGGCTACCGTGCCGTACGTTTTCTTGTCTCAGTAAAATTATGTGATTATGCAGAAACAGCAGCAGGCACTGCTGGGCATTTTGGTTAACTAATGAAATACAGTTTCTATGGCGCATGCATTTCTGTACGTCTTCCTGCAGCAGGAAGTGACGACAGAAAACGTGTGACTTGCTGCAGAACAATTCTGTACTCAGTATGCAGCTTCATATAACTCTCAGTGCAGATATGAAGTACTTCTATATTTGCTTTGCCGGTGCTTCAACTTCTATTGGGAGCTCACCGCAGCTATCCTGTACACAGCTGTACACGATATTAGCACTGCAGTCCATTTCTTTCCTTTCTGTCCTTCAGTTTGGTAGCGATATTAGTTTCTCCTCGAGGAAATATCCGCACGCTGTTTGCGTATGTATTTTCACCAGAGCAGCCGTTAATTTTGCATGTAATTTTGAATTTTTGAATTTTTGAAGTTTGGATATTATCGGAAATAATTTCATATACAGAATGATTCTAAATTATTGCCGAGGTTTCCGTGATCTATAAACGTAAATGCCGACAGTAATTTAGAATTACTCTGTATTTCTTCCTTAGCCGAGTAAGATAAGGCGATTTTTACGATGAAAAAATCTTACGGTAGTTTCACCGATTTACTGTTACATGGGTCAACACGGTAACGAAAGCAGCTTCAGACAAGTCCTTAAGTGATTTTTCATAAGCAAGTAATGCTAATGCGGACGTTGCACTAGCTTGGCTTTTTATTTGTGCATATTAAATTTATCGATCAAACAGAAATCCGTTTCCATGACATCTCAGCAGAGTAGAAAGATAGTTTATGTTTAACATAGTCATTACTAAAAACTACAGAATTCTAGCTTCGTGGAGCCGAGCCCTTCTTGAGAAGCCTCCAATTGTGCAGCTATTCAAGAACTTCTCAATATTTTATAGAACCCCAGGGTCCATTACCGTATTCACAAGAGCCCTGCACTCATCCCCATCCTGAGCCAGATCAATCCAGTCCATACCATTCCATCCTATCTCTCTAAGATCCATTTTAATATTGTCCAACCACCTCCGTCTTGGTATTCCTAATGGTCTCTTTCCTCATGGCTTTCCCACCAATATCCTGTATGCATTCAGCTTCTCCCCCATTCGTGCTACATTCCCTTCCCGTCTCATCCTCCTTCACTTGATCATTCTAATTATACTTGGAGAATAGTATAAGTTATGAAGCTCCTTATTATGCAGTTTTCTCCAACCTCCTGTCACTTTATCTCCTTTCGGTTCAAACATTCTCCTCAGCACACTGTACTTAACATACTCATATACGAACATAACTTCTGCCGCTGCAAGTTCACATCAATCTATTTCAAGTAAAGAAGCTTCGCGTTTGAAGACGCCATACTCTGTTTATTGGTCTGAAGACGATGACTGCCATGTTCTTCGTGATAAATCATGAATGAAAATTATCAGAGACCACGAATTCTTTGTTTATAGTTTCGGTGAAAATGAAATTGCATTTCAACACTTTGTAGGTCATAGATTTATAGGAAATATATCATATTCAGTACACTCGCACTGCAAGTCCAGAGCCATCTGATCCCAGCTGCGATCACAGGGCACAGCCATCGGCCAAGGGAACTGACCACAGTTGATGAGCCCCTGTTCCAATTGTTCCAAGTGCTTCTCCCACCGTCTAGAACGGATAATTGCATACCGTATCAATAACAGATGTTGCAGGACAGGCCGAGTTTCATTTTATGTGTATAAGGATGTTTCGAAGTTTAAATTTGGGATATGGACCCCGAGACAAGATATTAAAACGGGGATTTTATGGGATAAATTGGAAAGTATGGACAGCGTATACATATCTTGGCAATTTGAAAAATGTCACATCAAATTTGAAAGGAAACAGTTAATGAGAAGCAATTATTCTATCTCTTTTATTATGCTCAGTTGTGTTGTACGCAGCAACTTTTTTATTTATTACCATATTACGAAATTAAAATTACCTTGTCGTAAAAACCATGTTAATCAATGGAATATGCTTAGGAACCCAAAAATGCGACAAGGTGTTGCACACCGTGGGACCAGCTTGTACAAGAAGGTGGGTGAGGGGTTTGGTAACAGAAGATCCTTCTGCCTGAAGTGCGAAAGAGAGAGAAATGTTTGGTACAGAGAGTAGGGATGTTGGTGGCGTCGAGCTTGCGTGATAGCGTCGCGATGCCTCTGCTAGGGACAGCGTTTCTCTCGAGCAGTGAATCTCATGAGAGGCCTGGCAGCATTTGGTCAGAATAGTTTCGCTACTCTCAACACTTGTACAGCACTTCCACTTACTCGAATATCGGCGTATCCGTTAGTCTATAGGAAAAACTGTATTTGCTTTTACTTAATATCCAGATTATCATAATGTTAGATTATATATTTTATTGAACATCAAGATTACCGTTCTTGTGATTTATTTTTGTTTCTGTTTATATGAGAGTGAAATGAAAATTTCCAAATTGTCACGTTTTGTTGCGGGCTGAGAACTGACGTTTCTGCTACAGTGTATTCATCCGTAGGTTAAAGAGGAACTGAGAAAATAGACCTTTTTCTTTCTGAGACATTGTCATACGTCCTGACCGGAAACCGAAGAAACGCCTATTATCTGCATAGTATCAAAACGTCAACACTCAAGTTTACAGTGATTGGTAAGTTGTATAAAAGTATTAATTATTATTTAAAAAATGAATTCCTCTTGTTTTGTTGCTTTCTTCATTTATCATCATACATACGCACACTCGCTTTGCTTCTCTTTATGGGTCTATATTCTTGAATTAACATCTCCATTGTTTTGCATTCAGAAGAAGTGCCCATGTTCCGCAGTTTGTCCTACCTTAAAGAAAATGCATCATCATTATTATGAAGTATAAATGTGTTAAGTCATATGAAATGTAAAATATTATTCACTGATTTATCTAGCAAATGTGAAAGTCAGAAACATATTTACGTTGTATTTGCCTGTAACATTCATAATTTTGAACGATGATTAAGACAGGAATGAATATTTTGTTATATTTTATTATCCTACAGATAGAATGTCTTTACCATTACAGGTGTTATTAGTATCCTTTCGCAACTGAAAGTGAGTTTCTATTAGAGATTTTATGTTAAATGTATCTTGTATTTCATAGAATCAAGTTGAAAGGTGAAGTGTCAGAAATTCAAATCGAACTAAAGCAAACCGACATAATCCGAAATATTCAAATTTGGTTTTAAAGTAAGGCAATATGTGTGCAGTCTAGAATATTCGTTGCTTGTGGTAATTTTTAAAAGGTGATGTAAGTAAACACTGCCGATCCAGAAACTTTGTGCAACAACATTTATGTTTCTAAAGTTATTATTGTGAATTCTATTCATTAAATATACATGCAATTAGTTTATATAGTAATATTAATTTTGTTTTTAATTCATCATTTAAATCACAAAAATTATACGCCTCAAAATATTTGGCGGTGTACAAAACAAAGAACTACCGTCTTCTGGGATGTGATGCAGCGTAGCCGGTAGAAAATCACCGACGTTTCCGAAGAATTAGTTGCCTCAATCTTCAGGATCGAAGAGTAAGCCAAACAAGTAACTAACACGAACTAAGCAGCCTTTCTGTTACTGGTTATCTGTTCTGCTTACATTTTGTTTCTAAAAATTGAGGCATTATGTTCCTCCGAAACGTCAGGGAATTTCTGCCGGACCACACGACGTCAAATCACAGTGGATAGGATCAGTAGTTATTTTCTGATTCATGTATGGAAGCATATTCATAACAACCATACATAAAACAGAGAACTGATGGAGATATTTTATTAGAAAAAAAAATATATGCGACTATTATTATTAAAGTCTCTTTCTTTTCAAACCGAAATATGATTAAATTAACATTTTGTTTTGCTCCTCAAAGAATTATGGATGTAATTTCGATTTTGCATATTTCGCATCTGTATATTTCGACCACTTTCCTCTGACGGCCTGCACAGCCAAATTTTGCGACGTGTGGAATGACGGAATGAATATTGATGATTCAGCGAACGTTGAATCCTCTCCGATAGCAGTAATCAACAGTAATTTGCTACTAAGAACCCTCTGTTCATCCCACCAACCTGCCGTTGAATATGTCAAGAGAAATAGAGGAAGGATTGACATATCAATATAAAGCATTTCGCTTCAGATCTGCGGAGGAAAATATTACCCAGAGCTGGTGGATGAAATATACTTTAGTTTAATTCTTTTTTTTTTAATTCGCTTAGTGGGAGGTTGAGTCCAACTGGGTCCACTTGGCACGGCGGCCACTGATTGGCGTATTGTAGCCTGCCCCGGGTAATTATGATAATGGAGAATTTGGTGGAATGAAGATTGACAGGGGAAACCGAAGTATTCGGAGAAAGCCCGCCCCAGCGCCACTTTGTCTACTACAAAACCCACTTGAGCAGACCCGGGATCGAACCCGGGCCGCCCCTGTGGGAAGCCAGCGACTAACCGCTTGAGCTATGGCGCGGNAGCTATGGCGCGGCCTGTGTAGCTTCATGACTTTCCAAATTACAGTTAAAGCATGCACCCGCTAACCTTCCCCCCCCCCCTTTCGGTTTTCGTTTCCGTCTCGCCAGGCGCACTTCGAAATTCCTAAACGTGTTTTTTATTATGTAAAATTTGAGGTTTTACGGCGTTGACTATGAAGAATGTCGCCTTGTGGGATATATCGCTGTGTAGATATTGTGTGAACCGACGTTTCGGAGGAACATATCGACTCCATCTTCAAGGTGGGAAAATACGCGTGCGACGAACAAACGTGAGCAGGTGGCTCGCTCGCGGATTTTTCTATCCTGATGATAGAGGCGATACGTTCCTCCGAAACGTCGATTTACACAAGATCTACACGGCGACACACCCCAGAACACAGCATATTTCTTTTTTTTTTATTTTTTATGCAATATGGGCATCTACTAAACTCTGTCAATACACTCATATTTTGATTAACGTGGGACAAAAATGGCGGACACATTACACGTTACATAAGTTTCCACGAACTCGTTGGGAACAACACACTAAACTTTTATAGCAGAGAAAATTGGTTTCAAAAAAATTGTGCAGAAAAATGAGACATATATTTTATATCCAGTAAACTTTTTTCCCCACGTGTCTTGAGGTTTCGAGACAATCAAGCACAATATTTAAGATGACTCGTTTCATGACTCGGAAACCACCGGACTGATTTTCATGAAAAGTGTTCCCTGCACAGTTTATGGAATGTACTCAGATGTCATAGAGAATGAAGGCGCCAGTATCACCAAACTATACGTTCGTTTCCTAACTTCTGCAGACTCCCAACGAGTTTACTTAACCACACTTTCCGTTCTTACTTTCCAGGAAATCCACTTCATCTGCAGTTGAAAGATTAATTCGTTAAGGAAACAACCGCTGATTATTCTGAAAATCTTACGATGAACATAAATAAGCACCTTGGTCAAAATTTAGAGTTTTGGGGTGTTAAAGCAAGTGTTTACCGCTGGTAACACTGGCTGCAGTTACACTTATACTTTAATTCATAATGGCTTGATATTAATGTAAATGATGTTAATTTGGTACCTGCCTCATCCACCTGGTGTTTAGGTCCTTCGGCTATTATTCCGAATTTTTTATTGCTAGTGGGGCGGGACTAAGTCCCTTGTACTGCGGCCACTTCTGGCCTATTATACCAGCCCCAGATGATAGGTGAGGGTGATTGTGGAGCAATTGGTGGAATGAAGATTGGCAGAGGAAACCAAAGTACTCGGAAAAAAAACCTGCCCCAGCGCTACTTTGTCCACCATAAATCCCACTTGACCAGCCCCGGGATCGAACCCGGGCCGCCGCGGTGGGAAGCCAGCGACTAACCGCTTGAGCTATGGCGCGGCCATTTTTCTGAAATGGTGCAATGTAAATAAACTGTATAGGCGAAATGCAGATTTTTCTAACGTTTAAACAGGATTTGCATGCAGTTGCCACTGTATTCTAAAGGGTTAACAGAGTCTTTTAGAATTTTTAAATGTTGAAGCTTGTGTAGCAAATAATATTGAATTGCGAGAATAGTAAATAAGGCAGCAATGAAAAAATTTATACATGCTTGATATGAAGTTCTCACTGCGGGGACTTTAGAGGCTTCAATCTTCGGAGTTTGAACGCCTCTGGTGGAATTGTACTTAACTACACGGCGTTACGACAACAGAAGAGCATTCTCTCCAAACTGATACGTCTTTCGGGATTACATCTTTACTAAACATTTGATGCATTACAGTAAATAAGTAACTCATGGAGCTGAGCCCATCTTGAGAAGCAGCCAGTTGCTTAGCTACTCAAGAACTTTCCAGAATTTTATGGAACCTGAAGGTTCATTACCGTGTTCACAAGAGCCCTCCATCTGTCCCTATTCTGAGCCAGATAAATCCAGTCCATACCACCCCATCCTACGTCTCTAAGATCCATTTTAGTATTATCCGCTCACCTACGTCATGGTCTTCTACTGGTGTCATTCCTTTTGGATTTTACAAGATTATCCTATATGAAGGAAGCCGTCTTCTGGGATGTGGCGCCGTGTAGATATTGTGTTAACCGATGTTTCAGAGGAACGTACCACCTCTATCTTCAGGGTGGAAGAAAATCCGCGAGCGAGGAACCAGCGTGAGGAGGTGCTGACAGACTAATGTCGAGTCGAATAAGTAAGTCTAGCTGTATAAGAGCAGGAGGAGAAAGGAGAGGGGCTACATGGGAAAAGTATAGAGGAGAGGGGAAGGGTCTGGGGAGGTGGCCCAGCAGGTAGCAGGCCAGAGCAGGTGTAGGATAGTGTGTCGTATATGCTTTCATCTTCTCCCGCGTTCGTGCTACATGCCTTGCCCATCTCATCCTCCTAGACTCGATCGTTGTACTATACTTGGCGTATAACACAGGCTATAAAGCTCCTCATGGAAATCTATGTAACGTGTGTAATAGAGTTTGCCTTAAGAAGACACTTATTTTAGCACAGTAATGGAAAAAATGTAAATATTTTTCTCAGATTTCACAAAGTTGAAATTAGATTAATGCTGCTCCTCGGTAATGTATTTTTTCATTCTAAAATAAGATATTTATTTTCGAAATACCGGGATCTCGGATTTAATACTGTATTTATCATTTAAAATTTTAAAGAGAAACGCCTCGCAGTTTCCTAACATTTGCCTCTGTAACTGTAGGGTTTTATTAATGGAAGTTTTGAAATCGGAGAAGGTATTCTCATACTCCAATGAGAGGCGTACAAGGGAAATGAAGCAGAAGGCTTTCAGGAACATTTCCTGCAACGGGCAAATAATTTAACTAAAAAAGGGAAACTGAATTCTTTATGTTATTTCAAAATTGCCTGTGCCATAATATGTTTATTTCAAATATCATTTTGTAATGCTTGTAACATTTATAATCATTGTTCAAGTGACTGACGGTGGGCAACAAGAGTCTCCTTTTGTTAAAAATATGACTCAGCTCTGCCTAGAGGCCTAAAAGGGTAAACTTCCTGTATAACCTCTCAACCTGAAGATGAAAGAATAAATTATTTCGAAAATGAAGACTGCCGTCTTCTGGGATGTGGCGCCGTGTAGATTTCACGTTCCTTCGAAACGTCTGTTCACACAAAATCTACACGGCGCCACAT